AATTGGTCGTGTCTTAGATTAATGACAGTACCATTGTCATTAATAAAGGGAATGGCAGAAGCAGGATGGTAATCCCCGAGAAGCCTCGGCTTTCTCTCTCCTGGAAAACCAGGAGGGCCCCTCCAAACATGAGGCTGCCCAGCAGCTCACAAACGATGCAGCGAACAACAAGTCACAGGCAGGCCTGGGAGCCTGGCCCCTCCGTGGGCCCCTCTGCCTTCAACCTGAGTTTCTCCAGGAGGAAGCCTCGGATTGGTGCTGTCCTCTTTTCAGAAACTCCTTAAACTCACCTGCTGTTGTTTTTTTTTTTTTGAGACAGAGCCTCGCTCTGTTGCCCAGGCTGGAGTGCCATGGCGTGATGTCGGCTCACTGAAGCCTCTGCTTTCCAGGTTCAAGCAATTCTCCTGCTGGGATTACAGGCGCCCGCCAGCACGCCTGGCTAATTTTGTTGTAATTTTAGTAGAGAAGAGGGTTTCACCATGCTGGCCAGACTGGTCTCGAACTCCTGACCTCAGGTGATCTGCCCATCTCAGCCTCCCAAAGTGCTGGGATTACAGTCTCGAGCCACCATGCCCGGCCCTCACTTGCTTTTTTAAGAAGGGGAGAACAGGAAGGCCACAAACTCAGTACCTCTGAGATTAGTGCTTAATAAATAATATCTGTGCCGTTTTTATTTGTCGTTACAGGCAGCTGCAGGGTCCCCCAGTTCCCCCTGCTTTCTTTGTGTGTCCTGAATGAAAACCACAGAGTGAGCGCCCTGACCTCTGCGGCCCAGCCAGCTGCAGGGTTTCTTCCTGCAGGCTTGAACCAGGGCCTAGGACATTCCCAGGCACTGATAAACACTGAAAGCCAGCCCCGGCCCCGAGCCAAAACCCTTCAACCCTCACATCCGATTCCACACCCTGATCTTCTTGCTGAGGACACCCCGGGGTAGAAAATGCACTTTTCTCTGATGCCTGTCGCAAGGACGCTGACGCCCACCCTGCGCAGAAAGCCACCTAGGAAATGCTTCGGACTAATCCCCCTGGCATTTACGGTTCCTTGCTTTGGAATCCTAACCAGCCCCATCTCAGGATGGTAGAGGGCACTCCTTTGTCGGAACTCCCCTGCTGCTGCTTCTGGGGTGACTGCAGCTGTGGGTTCAGTGGGATGAGACAGAAGCTTCTCACTATTCACAACAGCAAAGACATGGAATCGGCCTAAATGTCCATCAACAGTAGACTGGCTGAAGAAAACGTGATGGATATTCACCACAGAGTACTATGCAGCCATAAAAAAGAATGAGATCACGTCCTTTGCAGGGGCACAGGATGGAGCTGGAGGCCACTATCCTCAGAAGGCTAATGCAGGAACAGAAAACCAAATACCACGTTCTCACTTTTAAGCGGGAGTTAAATCATGAGAACACACAGCCACACAGACAGAACAGACACTGGGGCCTATTGGAGGGTGGCGGGCAGGGGAGGGAGAGCGGCAGACCAAATATCTATTGGGTACTAGGCTTAGTACCTGGGTGACGAAACAATCTATACAAGAAACCCCTGGGACACAAGCGTGCCTACGTAACAAACTACACATGGACCCCTGAACCTAAAATAAAAGTTTCTTCTTTTTTTGAGAGAGAGTCTTGCTCTGTCTCCAGGCTGGAGTGCAGTGGTACGGATCTTGGCTCACTGCAACCTCTGCCTCCTGGGTTCATGTTATTCTCCTGCCTCAGGCTCCTGAGTAGCTGGGATTCCAGGCACAGGCCACCACATCTGGCTAATTTTTTGTATTTTTAGTAGAGGCGGGGTTTCACTATGTTAGTCAGACAGGTCTCCGACTCCTGACCTCGTGATCCACCTGCCTCAGCCTCCCAAAGTGGTGGGATTACAGGCGTGAGCCACGGCGCCTGGCCAGTTTGTTTGTTCGTTACTGCGAACGTATAGTTGATTTAGTCATATTCTGTTTACAATGGAAACTCTGAGAATTCAAATTAACATCCTTGCCTGTGAGCTTCTCATAGACACCAAAAAGTTTCAGCCTGTGTTCCACATTGTGCTGCTGTGCTTCGTCCAAATAAACCTCCATCAGCCGCTGCCGTCCAGGTCCGTGAAGATTCTATTGCCCACAGTTTTGCTTTCGAAGACCAAGTCCTCAGGACTGCATCATGCACAGCTGTCAGAGTATGGCTCCTGGGATGCTTTCGCTAATTTTTTCTATGGCTTTTCGAGTTGGCTGAGGCAGAATTCTCCTCTGAGCGATACAGACGCCATGCCTCCCACTGAACTTCTCCAGTTTGCGTGCTAGCCGGATTTGGATTTTCTGTTAAGATTTCAGTTGAAGAACAGTAACGAAGATGATAGCTTTTTGACCGCCACCAACTTCAATTGCCTTGGCTGCCGTAACATTCAGCTCTGCGAGCTGAGCCTTGAGGTCCAAGTTCATCTCCAGCTCCAGAATAGCCTGGGAGGTGCTGGACTCGAACTGCCAGACTTGAACTCGTCCAGTTTCTCGCCATTGGGCTTCACGATGTTAGCACTCGAACTGAACGTGGCCTTGTCCTTGCTGAGTGCCAGCTTAGGAAGAGACCCAAATCTCGTTTGTTGTTTTAAAGAAAGAAACAGCAACTTCTGATTGTGGCAAGGAACACAAGTTTCCGATGTGTGATGGAGTGTACTTGTGAAGTACACGAGTGATGGAAAGACGTACTTAAAGAAAAAGATTAGATGAACAGGGTTCCTTTTAAAGCGGATTTACAAAAAATGCAAAGTTCAGTGAGATGTGTACAGGAAGGAGAAAAATCGTGCGGAGAGTTGGGAGTGAGCAAAAGAACCCAAGTGCTGGAAACATGACTCAATCTCTACGAGCCCTTGAAGCTGCCGGGACCCTGACCGTCCGGCCGCCCGTGGGGATGAGAGTCAAGTGATGTGTGATTTCATTCATGTGAAATGCACAAACAGGCCAATCCACAGAGACAGGAAGTGGATTCGTGGTTGCCCGGGGGCTGGGGAGTGATGGCTGATGGGGATGGGGTTGCTTTTTGGGATGGTGGAATGTTCTGGAAGTGGACAGGGCTGATGGCTGCACAATTCTGTGAGTGTACGGCTAAAGGCCACTGAGCTGCGCACCTTCGAAAGTGAAATTGTGCAATGTGAATGACATCTTGATTTTTAAAAGCACCCTGGGCCAGGAGGAGGGATGGGAGGGGCCGGGTGGCTGCGTCCCACTTGGGGCGGCCTGGTCCACGGGGACTCTCCAGGAGAGCTGGAGCCTTCCAAACAGGAAGCCAAAGCCACAGCCTTGTCAAGGACGCTGGGGCCACCTCCCTCCAGGCTGATTAATCAGTGATCACCAAATGGCCCCTGCCAGCACATTCCTCGGGCGAGCTGCTGGTGGCACCATGATGGTGACAACTGGCCTTTGAGGCAAGGGCTAGAGATGACCGCCAAGATCTGTGGATTTCTGCTGACCCGTCCCTCCTCGGACTTCCCTCACCAGGTCTGCCCCTGCAAACACACCGGCTGCCAACCGGCCATCCACCCACGCCCTGGTGGCCCAGGCCTGTGCAAACACCACTTCCTATCACTGTGCACTATGGCCCCAGTGGCTGGCCCAGCAGGGCACTGTGATCCACACAGGGCTGGGGCTCTCCCCTGGATCTTGGCCTGGAGTGCCAGGAGACAGGAATTCCTGCTTTCCCTCCTGAGGGAGTTCCAGAGCTGCCTGGAACCCTGCGGCCTCCTCCAGCCACAGAAGTCACTGTTTGCAGCCGGGAGAGGCCGGTCTGCACGGGACAGGAGCGTATCCAATGCGGCAGTCTCAGGCCTGGAATCTGAGCCGGCCCCAGCCCACGTTACCGGCATTAGAAACTGCACATTTCCCCGCTGGTCCCGCTAGCTGGACACTGGCGGCTTCACCACGTGGATCCGAAAGAGCCCTCCCGGAGGGCCTGTGATTAGCTCCACATGCCCCACAACAAACCTGGTGCCTGCTGAGGACACAGGTCCCCGGAAGGAGCAGAGGGGACGGGTCCTATGCTTTGGGCAGCAGGCCTGGCCTTGGAGTCTGGATGCTGGGCCAGTGCTAAGAAGTGTTGTTATTACTCAGGGGCTGTAGGGAGGCTTGCCCCAAGAATCTGGACGTGATGTGAGCTCACGCCTGCCCCGACAGTGTTAAGTGACAGACTGGATTAGCTGAAGGGTGAATGTCACCCCAAAAGGGGCAACCTGGTTTCTGAGCAGCTCTAGGTACATTCTGGGGTCTCTGCCAAGTTCATGCCCACTAGGTTGGGCCCTCAGCACCTCCTGTATACTGTGAGACCTGCCCGCCCCAGCCCCAGGCGCACACACTAGCCGCAGACAACCCCACAACCTCATCTATGCACAGTCAGTCTGATTCCTTATCCTGGAAATTTGGAGAAAGCTCCTCTGTTTCTGCTGGTGGCTAGAACATAAGGCACGGAATCCTGGGGGCCGTGGAGGGGCTGCGGAGGGCAGGTGAGCAGCGAGGTGGGGTGGATCTGTGGAGAGGTACACACAGACGGATGCCTGGTTTCTGGAAGGCTGCAGTTCCCAGGCACTGCTTCCTGAGGTCCTCAGGGATTTCTGCTCTTGGGTTCCATAACATGCCCCCTCCCTTTACTCCAAGGGGTACTTCGTGGCTCAGCTAGCTTGGAGACTTTCTGTCCCTTTTAGCATCTTCGCGGAGACTTGAATGATGACCCTGACAGAGAGGTGTCCGTATCCTGGAGCTTGGGTGTGGAGGCGATCTTACATAGAGTGACAGGCCTGTGCAGCTGGGATTAAGTGAAGGCCCCTAAGCTGGGGAGATGATCCTGGATTACCCAAGTGAGCCCAATGGCATCATGAGTCCTTATCACAGGGAGGCAGGCCAGGCCCAGTGGCTCATGCCTGTAATCTCAGCACTTTGGGAGGCTGAGGCAGGCGGATCACCTGAGGACAGGAGTCTGAGATCAGTCTGGCTAATGTGGCGAAGCCCCATCTCTACTAAAAATACAGAAATTAGCTGGGTGTGGTTGCACGCGCCTGTAATCGCAGCTACTTGGGAGGCTGAGGCAAGAGAATCGCTTCAACTTGGGAGGCGGAGGTTGCAGTGAGCCGAGATTGCACCACTTGCACCCCCAGCCTGGGTGACAGAGACTCCATCTCAAAACAAGATAAAACAAACAAAAATGGCCGGGCGCGGTGGCTCAAGCCTGTAATCCCAGCACTTTGGGAGGCCGAGGCGGGTGGATCACAAGGTCAAGAGATCGAGACCATCCTGGTCAATACAGTGAAACTCCGTCTCTACTAAAAATACAAAAAATCAGCTGGGCATGGTGGCGCGTGCCTGTAATCCCAGCTACTCAGGAGGCTGAGGCAGGAGAATTGCCTGAACCAAGGAGGCGGAGGTTGCGGTGAGCCGAGATCGCGCCATTGCACTCCAGCCTGGGTAACAAGGGTGAAACTCCGTCTCAAAAAAAAAAAAAAAAAAAGAAGGCAGAGGAAAATTTCAGACAGAAGAGGAGGAGGAGGAGAAGAAAGGGGCTGTGTGACCATCAAGGCAGAGGTTCCAACGTTGTGGCTGCAAGCCAAGGGATGCCGGCCGCCACCAGAAGCTGGAAGCAGCCAGGGCTGGTTCTCTGGAGGCTCCAGAGGGAGCGTGGCCCTGATGATACATTGATCTTGGACTTCTGCCCTCCAGAACGTAATAGAATCACTTTCTGCTGCTGTAGGACACTAACTCAGAGACCATTCATCACAATGGCAGCCACAGAGAACTCCTCCAAGCACCCTGACCAGGACAGCAACCCCAATAGGAGCAAGTGGCCTGAGACCGCAGACATGTACAAGGGGCCCAGGAGGCCACGGAACTGCAGGATGAAAAAGAGAGGCAGCGGCCCACAGCAGCCTTGGTCTGGGCACGTGTGATCACAGCAACCAAGCTCTCTCAGGTAATTGAAACTCAAGGCATTCCAGTCCAATTTCTCCTAGAGTTGGCCAGTGTTCTTAAAGGGCCAGAGAAGCCGGGTACAGTGGCTCATAATTTTGGGAGGCTGAGGCAGGAGGATCACTTGAGCCTAGGGGTTCAAGAGCAGCCTGGGTGACACAGCAAAACCTCATCTCTACTAAAAATACAAAAAATTGTCTGGGCATGGTGGCACATGCCTATAGTCCCAGCTACCTGGGAGGCTGAGTTCAGCAGGATCACCTGAGCCAGGGAGTTCCAGGCTGCAGCGAGCTGTGATGGCACCACTGCACTCCCAGCCTGGGCAATGGAGTGAGACCCCATCTCTAAAAAAAATAAGAAATAAAAGAAAGGGGCCGGGCGCGGTGGCTCACGCCTGTAATCCCAGCACTTTGGGAGGCCGAGGCGGGTGGATCACGAGGTCAAGAGATCGAGACCATCCTGGTCAACATGGTGAAACCCCGTCTCTACTAAAAATACAAAAAATCAGCTGGGCATGGTGGTGCGTGCCTGTAATCCCAGCTACTCAGGAGGCTGAGGCAGGAGAATTGCCTGAACCCAGGAGACGGAGGTTGCGGTGAGCCGAGGTCGTGCCATTGCACTCCAGCCTCGGTAACATGAGTGAAACTCCGTCTCAAAAAAAAAAAAGAAATAAAAGAAAGTAAATACTTTCGGCCACACAGGCCATATGATCTCTGTCACGGTGACTCTCCTGCGGTAGCTTGGGAACAGCCAAAAACAAGGAAACTAAAGGGGACCGGGAAAACTTGATTTCTGAAAATGGCTATCACTTGCCGATCCCAGTTTCGGATGATTATTCCTTTTAAATTCTTTGTTTGCCAAACCAGTATCTGATTTCCACACAAGCCCGTCTGTGGAGAGGGCCTGCGTTGACGGCGGGAAGAGGGTGACCACCTGGTGTCCACCTCAGTCACTGCTGTGAGCACATGGTCAGCCTCCGGCAGAGGATGATGCCCATTTACCAGTTCCAGTGCTGGCTGGGGGCTGCAGCACACACAGGTCTGGGCTCAGGGGCTGAGGGCTCTGCTGTGAGTCCCAGGAACGAGTATGCCGGCCTGGACAAACATCCCGGGGCCACCCACCCCAGGAAACACTTGGCCATGTCTGGGGGATGTCTGTGGTTGTCACCACTGGGATGTGGCTGCTCCTGGGATGAAGTGGGTGGAGGTCGGGGACACTGCTCAGGACCCTGTGGTGCCCACGACGACCCCACCCCAGAGAACGATCCGGGTCCAATGCCCATGGTGCCAAGTGGGAGAGGCCCTGCCTTTGATCCCCAGTTTTGTGTCATGCTGCTTTCAAAGACATGGGCCTGCCTGATCTCTCCAAGATGTCCTTCGTCCCAGCTCTTAAGGCCTCTGCGAGCAGCGCGCAGCATCGAGATAGCCACGGCCCACCTCACAGGAGCCAGGCCCGCAGTGGCCACAGAGGCTACTGGAGGACATGCAGTCTAACCCAGGCTCTGACGGCGCTCGTGGTGCAGGGGAGCCCAATCCCATGAGGCGCTGCGGACGATGCAGAAGGAGCCGCGTGCATGCATGCACCCAGGGGAGGAAGTGACGACCCAGGGCCTACAGCAGGGGCTGCAAGCAGCTGGCAAGCTGCCCTGTGCTGTCACCCGCAGCAGACCCGGTTCCGCCATCTGGGCGGCTTTCCTGGAGCCTCAGGATCCTGCATGACGCACCTCCGAGCTCATCCTGGAATTACTCCCTACTCCCTCCGGGAATGGTTCAGCCCAGTCCTGTTTGTCACGAGCCCCACCCAGCCCGGACCAGGTGGCTGGGAAGTGACTCAGGGGGTGGACCCGGCTGACTAGCACTGGAAACAATCTCCGGGCTCAGAGCCACAGGGCCAGCTTGAGCCACGGCATCCCGGCCACACGGAGCAGCGGGCTGCCCTGTGCACAGCTCCCTCAACAGCTGACGCTCCCGGGACGTCCCCTCCCAGCCCGCGGTGGCCCTTCCCTGTAGTCAGAGCCATCTGTGGCTGAGCCTTGAAGGACGGCACACCAAGGGCCTGGCCACCTGAGCAGATCTTCTGACTCCTGCGGACTGCTGGGAACAGAAAGGACCGGGGAACCGCGGCCCCAGACACTGCTCCCGCCTAGGCGGCCTGCAGGGCCCGGCTTACCCAGGTAGTAGAGGCGGTGGGAGTGAGGTCCAGACTCGTCCGTCTTCTGCACGAACTGGAAGTCGTGGGGCGCCTTGTTGACGATGAGGCCTGAGTACTTGCGGCTGCCGTGGATAATGCTCCGGAGCCCATCCCACGAGTGCTTCTGCACATGGAAGCAGGCGGCCGGGTCATCCGTGGTAGCTGCGTCGCCCCGGTCGGCCGCTGGGGTCCCGGTGGTGGCCATCCTCTGAGCCCCCTCAGAATTCAGCGAGAAGCTGCAGGGATGAAGCAGACATTGTGAGAAAGGAGAACAGCCTACCCGCAAGCTGCCCCCACTCTGCCCCTTGTGAGACACTCAGGTTCTTCCAGGCGAGCCGCACCCGTGCCACCTTCCCCGCCCCCTAAACACTTCTTAGGGTGGTCCCCCTCTCTCCATGTCACTAATGCTGCTAAGACCCAAGCCACCATCGCCTCTCCAACAAATGATTTTTTTTTTTTTTTTTTTTTTTTTTGAGAGAGTCTTTCTCTGTCACCCAGGCTGGAACACAGTGGTGAGATCTCAGCTGACTGCAACCTCCGCCTCCTGGGTTCAAGCGATTCTCCTGCCTCAGTCTCCTGAGTAGCTGGGACTACAGGTGCGCATCACCACACCTGGCTAGCTTTTTGTATTTTTAGTAGAGACGGGGTTTCACCGGTTAGAATGGTCTCCATCTCCTGACCTCATGATCCACCCGCCTCAGCCTCCCAAAGTGCTGGGATTACAGGCGTGAGCCACAGTAGCTGGCTGAATGAACGGTTTTTAAAAACTTTCTGCCGGGCGTGGTAGCTCACCCCTGTAATCCCAGCACTTTAGGAGGCTGAGGTGGGTGGATCACTTGAGGTCAGGAGTTCGAGACCAGCCTGGTCAATGTGGTGAAATCCCATCTTTAAAAAAAAAAAGAAAGTTAAAAACTTTCCTTTTTTTTTGGAGATGAGGGTCTCAACTATGTTGCCCAGGCTGGTCTCGAACTCCTGGCCATAAGCAATCCTCCTGCCTCAGCCTCCCAAGTTGCTGGGATTACAGGTGTGAGCTACCATGCTGGGCTGTGGCTGAATGACTGAAACCGCCTCCCACCAGGGCGTTCCACATCTACTGCCAAGACCCCATCACTTAAATCCCTTCCTGGTTTCCCACAGTCCCTGTGACAAAACCAGTCCTCACCACCACCTCAAGGCTGCTGTCGACCCCTGCCAAGCCCCTGATCCCATCCTCCTTGTCCCCGTGCCCCAGCCAAACCAACCTTCACCCAGCTCCTCAAATTCCTTTCCAGCGCAGGACCCCCTCCTGCTTTGAGCACATTTTTCCTCACTTTGCTTAAACTTCTTTAACATATATATACTTTTCTGTTGTTGTTTTTGAGACAGAGTCTTACTCTGTCACCCAGGCTGGAGTGCAGTGGTGTGATTGCAGATCACTGCAGCCTCTGCCTCCCGGGTTCAAGAGATTCTCCCGCCTCAGCCTCCCAAGTAGCTGGGATTACAGGCACCCACCACCACGCCCAGCTACTTTTTTTGTATTTTTAGTAGAGACGGGGTTTCACTATGTTAGCCAGGCTGCTCTCACTCCTGACCTCAAGTAATCCATGTGCCTCAACCTCCCGAAGTGCTGGGATGACAGGCGTGAGCCACCACACCCGGCCTGCTTGACCAACTTCTAATCAGATCTCAGCTTAAAATATTTGGCAGGACCTCAGAAACCTTTCACAATCATCCACGCTGAAGCCGGTCTCTCTAGTCATCTTTCACACGCCACCTGGCTGTACCCCTCCCCCCACCTTCCTCACAGCGGTTATTCATGGGACCCCTGCGTCCCCCATGTCTGTCCCATTCATAGCTGTGCTCCCAGAATCTCAGGCGGTGCCTGGCACACGGCAGGCACTCTACGGAGCACTGT